GTTAATTGAAATTTGAAATCATTTATAGGCTCTGTGAAATCGTTTACTAGTTACTATTACTAGTTATTCCTGTCATATTTATCTTTGTCTTTGATATTTTTGTTGCAATTGATATTATTTTATACCTGATTTTTTTGTTAAATAGACATTATTTTATTAAATGACTTTTTTGTTGCAATATATGTTATTTATTTAAATTTTGTCACATGAATGCTAATGTTACATCAGGGATCAAGGTAGTTGTTGAATATACTGTGATAAGTGGGATGAAAATCAAATGTTTTCATAGTAATTCCAGACACCATGGTTAAAGTTACAACATAGAAAAAAAATGATTGATGGTGTCTTTAGCATCATTAATCATGTATGTACGTATTATCATAAAAAACAAGATAAACTAAGTAAATTAAAAGCATCCATCTAGATTTTAATGATCTAGGTTATAAAATCTTATTAATCTAAATATGTATAAACTGCGAATTGAATTTATTCCTAAGCTAAAGCATTTTATCACTTAATGTAGGTATGTAGGTATATATAAAATTCCAATGCACATATAAATATATTTGTATATACAATATTTAAATTTCGGTATGGCATTAATCTCAAATATCGTTCCTTAAAATTTTGTCAAATTTAATAGCATAGGGTTTTGTCTCCCTAGAGGCTGTGTCGTCACGTAGGGTTTCCTTCTACCAATTGTTTGTGCAGCTCTTCTTCTCTAGACTTCTAGAGTGCGTTTTAAGTGTAGATTGTTTGGTTCCGGTATTGGGATTTATGCAACTTTCAGATTATCCATTGGATCTTGAAGCAGTGACAAGATTTCATCTTTGTTTTCTGATCTCTTTTCTCGTCTTGTGCAAGTCAATCTTAAAGGAGGCATGAGTGTGGCTGCAGCTTTTGGAAACGAATCCAAGGTTCAAGAAACGATATTATGTCTTCTATGGATGATCTAGAGCAACGTTGTCTCATTCCTGCAATTGTGGAAGAGGTCGAAGGGTTAGTTTCTGGAGAATCAACATGGGTAGAGGGTGATGATGGTAGTGGAGGCGGAACGGGCAATGGGAAGACGGGGAGAGGTGAAGGGCTGAACAAGGGAGAAGACAGATCGATGCTCCGTCCCCCTCGTTAACCGCCATCTTGGAGCTGAGCGATCAAGGTGCTGGGATTTGGAAGATTTATCAATTATTTAATTTTTTATGGTTTTATTTTCACGTTATGTATTATGTTGCTCTATTTTTTGTTGATGCCTTTAGTTGTAAGACAACAATTATGATTGACAAATCTGCTAGATATTATGTCATTAGAAAGATCTATATGGCCAGTGATTAATGTGTCACACCTGCTTAGTGGTTAGCGATTCGTATTGCTCTCTCAGGCGTGCCCGTCTCTGAGTGGTGATCGTCTCTGACTCTAGCCATAGGGTTGATAATGCTTGTTGGTTAGGGATAGTTGTTGTCAGGGTTGGTCGTTTTGAGTTTGTTGTAACGATGTGATTTCTAGTGATATTAATATAAGCGGTTTGTTTTTATGATAAAAAAAATCCGGTATGGCCCATTCTGACCGGAATACTCTGGGTTTCAGATAGGATCATACTGGAACCAAAATTGCAAAAAGCAGGGTTGGTCCTTGATGTGCTTATATTTTACACACTTTTTAGGCTTAGTTTGTTGATAATTTTAGTTATTAAAGTTGTACTTTTGTACATATTTTTATTATTTGTCGTTAGTTTGTATTAGTGAATCCTACACGGGTATTTTGTATTTTCAGGTACTTTTGATGCTATTTGGATCATATGTGTATAAATTAAAGAAGAAAATAAAAGTTCAAGTTGGAGGTTAATAAATGTGGAATTTCATTCAAAGCATATAAGAAGTAAATTGAAGAAAAGAAGCAAAAGATAGAAAAAGGTGGAGCAAGGATACGAACTCTGAACAAAGTATAGAGGAAAACCAATCTGAACGAGTGAGCTAAGTTGTCATAGTTGAAAATTGAAATGGTCAGCAGGAAAGTTGTTTACACTTGAATGCTAGAAAAGAAAGAGTTACTGCGCACAATGTTCAAGTACTTCGTCCACTGGGCTGCTGCACAATGTTGGAATGTTACTGCGCTTTGTTTTACATAAACGTATCGCTTCCGTAAATTCCAACAATTAATGATTAAATACCTTATCATTATATTGCCTTAATCCATCTTCCTCCACACAAAACTTCGAACCATTATCTCTCTACACCTCCCCGAAACATTTCCTCTCCCTTCTCTCTTCATTTTCTCAATCCCAAATCATCAACTCATCTTCAACCACAGTTAATCACTTTCTCATTTAAGATTAAATCAAGATTAGAATCAAAGCTCCAAGAATTGTCATCTATCACAAGTTTGATCTTTCTTATCTCATTAAATCTTGTACTTTAATCATGGATTCATCTATTTCTATGCTTCCCAACATGTATAGCCAAATAAATTTGGGGCTAGAAATTGGTTAATTAATTGTTCTTATCATATTTTAATTTGTATCGATTTTAATTGTTAATTTTGTTCTATTTAGATTGTTGTGTCCAGAAAATAATTATGTTGTGTTTGTGATATATAATATGAGTACTCAATCATAAACATATTGTTTGATAAATATAAAAATGAACACTTTCTGAACACACCGTTAAACTTCTTTTACCTTGTCCCGGATTGAAGTTTTACGAGAGAATTTAATTATTTAATTATATTATTTACACCACGGGGTTGGGTAAATAATATAGTTAATAATTAAGGTTGTCGTTGCACTTAAACAACTAGTCTCATTTTGGCCATCAATGAGAAATGTTGACTAGTTACTTATTTTAGGTGACTTGTGTTGGGTCCTAAAATATTTATCTACAACTTCTCACAATCTATCTAAGAATAAAATTAGCAATTATATCTCTCAGTCACTTTTATTTAATTATTTTTCCAAGCAAACAAAAATCAAAAGAAACGCATTCCCAACTTTAATCCTTAGTTTGTGCTTAATTATTTAATTTCACGCTTCTCTGTGGTTCGACACCATACTTCCTTGGATAAAAAAATAGTTGTGCGTCCATTATATGCTACACACAAGTCTTGACGGTTTCAAGGACAAGGGGTGGTGATCTATAATAGGCCTAACTTTAATAAATATTGTAAAAAAATTCTCTACTCCTCTTCTCATTTGCACTATATCTCATCCACATTCATCTAATTTTATTACACTTTAAAATTAATTAAATTATACACGTTTAATGAAATTTTAAAATTTTATGGAATAAATTTAATACTATCACAAATTCACATTTTAATTTCGTAATCATTTTTAACTAGAAATGGTAAAACACATTCACAATTTTACTATTTGACAAGATGATACTCCATATTTATTATTTAATGCTCCAACAAGTTTAAAATGTAGAAATTCAAGATCAACCAACAATATGAACAAATTCATAATTTCACTACTTCATGATTCAACAAGACAACAATCAATAAGTAAGTTAACAACCGAAATTCTAAATTCGATAATAAAAAGTAAAAAATTATCATAAGTTTTAACTGATAATGTATTAATGTAGTAAGTAAAAAACATAGATTGAGGATTTAAGGGGCGGTACAGCAGAATGTAGAATAACAAAATTGCAATTTTGTACAAACAGAAGTACAAAACTGATAAGCACAATAATTACCGGGCCTTACTAATTTTCTTACTAATAAATACCCCCCCCCCCCCCCCCCCGTGTTTTATGATTTGATTACTAATTTTCTTACCGGGCCTTACTCGCTTGATGAACATATTGGATAGGCAATAAAACTCAACCTAGTCAACTGATAAGCACAATAATTACTTATGTTTTACATAAGTAATTATATTTATCTGTACAAAAATATAAGGTGACAACAGGTAAATATTCCAAAATGAGCAAAAAGGAAAAATATGGCTTGAAGCGACAAATATGGGGTCAAAAAGCAAAAGGGACAAAAACCGGCACATCTGGATCAATCGCGGACATTAAAATAAGAAGAAAAGCTAGTAAACATTTTGGCGCAAGAACCGGCGTCGGCTAAAACACAATGACGTGCAAGCTTATTTTTGATGGGAAAACTTCATCTTCCTCATTGTTGATCAAATATTGCATCCATACCTATTTGTTAGGTTCGAATAGACTAAAAGATGTAATTCTTTAGCCTATATAAAGCCCTCAATTCATCAATCAAAGGCATTCCATTCCATACTTTAAGTTCTTGATGAGGAAAGTTCATCCTCCGAAATCATTGGTGTTAAAGTATTATATCCTTTGTAATTTCATATTCCATTACATTTAATTGTTGTATTGTGATTAATATGAGCATTAGTGACTAATTTCTTAGCTAAGGCTAGGGATGAACCTCTATGCCCACTAGGTGTTTGATAAAAGTTCTAAAGCAATAAATTGTGATTTATCCTTTATATTTTGATTGTTTATGACTATGGTGTACAACATGGAAGTATGTTAAATTTAGTTTATGATTGCAATTAACGTGAAGTCTAAACTATGAACATTAAAGGATAAACATAACAGGACTTACACGTAATGAAAACCACACTCTCGTTTCCTTAACCGAAGTTGAGAATATATTAGCGACATCCTTTCCAGTATACTATCGCCGAAAAGTGTACTTTTCAGGGAAAAAGTCTTTAAATCGCAAATATTAATTAATTACAAAGCCAAATTTGAAAGTCAATAAAGTTATGAGACTAATATGTTTTATGATTTGTCTTGGATATAAGCCCAAAATAGTGTATCGTTCGTAGGCCTAGAAATGGAAAGGACCGGTCCTGGTTATACTACGTAACTCATAAGTTGTAACTATACAAATAATAGGTAGTACTGTTTCTTGGGCCTTAAATTTTTTTAGGGCTTTATGTTATTTTGGTGTCCGCCCATGCTTTGGGCTGGCCCTGGTCCCTGGATATATGATTCCATAATTGAGTCAAATATGCTTGGACAATTTTGCTGAAGCGGGTCGGGTGGTCGACGCGTTCCCTGTCGTCAGTCCATCCTCACTGTGTTTTTTATGATTAGGCCACTCATTAAAACGCGCAAAAAACAAAAAAGAAAAAGAAGGAAACTGGAACCGGCTGTCACTAGAATAAGGGCTGTTTCTAGGCCAGCTAATTCCCTCCTCTGGACCTTGACCTTCCACCTACCCTTTCCCACTCTGCCACCGCTACTATATATACACACTCACGCACCCACCGCTACTCTCAGTCCATTCTTATTTTTCCGATTCTTTATTCATTTTCCCCATCAATAAATAAATAAATACATACCCAACATTTTGGTTTCAAATTTAATTCAAGATTTCCGACATGGCGGGCCGTACACTGGAATCCTCTGTCCAGCCAGCTGTTGTTGAATACTCCGCCGCCGACGTCGAGAAACAGTCGGAGGTAGCCGCAAAGGGCAGCAGGACCAAAATTGTTATGCTCGTATTCTCCGCCGTGTTCTTAATCGCCTCCGCCGCTGGGGTGGTAGCTTGGGTAGGATTGGGGAAACCATCTGAGGAGGTCAGGGTTAATGTGAGGCCTACTCGGGCAATTTCCCATACCTGCGGCAACACGCGTTACCCGGAACTCTGCGTCGACTCGCTGATCAATTTCCCGGGCGCGCTCACGGCGGCAAATAGTGCCGAGATCAGTCACGTTTCGGTCAACTTGACCCTGCAGAAGTTCGGGCTGGCATTGACCTTGGCGCCCGACATTGGCGCCATTCCGATGAGTGCCCTGGAGCGGTCGGCGTACGATGATTGCATCGACCTCCTCGGCGAGTCGGTGGACCTTCTATCCCAGTCCCTGACCGCCATCGGAGAACAGAGGTCGTCGGAGGACGTCCAGAATTGGCTGAGCGCCGCATTGACAAACCAGGACACCTGCGAGGAGGGGCTTCAGGAAGCCGGCGGCGGGTCGCCGGTGAAGGCCCGTATGACGGAGAATTTGAAGGACTTGTCCGAGCTCGTAAGCAACTCTCTATCCATCTTCGCGCACCAGGCGAAGGACGACGATGACTTCGCCGGAGTGCCGATTTCGAACCGACGCCGGAGATTGTTGGAGGAAGAGGATTTCCCGGAATGGGTATCTCGGAAGGAACGGAGATTGCTTATTGACACGCCGGCGTGGAATATGTCCGCCGACATCATCGTATCAAAAGGTAACAGAACATTTAATCGGACAGGACGGGCGACCAGGATAGTGAAGACGATCGGCGAAGCGATCAAGTTGGTGCCGGAAAACAGTACTACCCGGACAGTCATTTATGTGACGGAAGGAAGGTAAAAGATCTTCTGAAAATGCTTTCTTTAATTTATTTAATTAATTAATGAGTTTTTGAATACTCCGTATAACATGAAATTGAAAGTTTGAAAATTCCAAAATAGGATTGACATATTTTTATTCCCAAAATACGACTAATTACTGTCATGTTTTGGTAGTATCAGACTTCAAGCATGATAGTAATTAGTCCTATTTTGGGAATAAAAAACATGACAGTCCTATTTTGGAATTTTGAAACTATTTTAGTCCCGGAAACTTTCCCTAATAAGATTGTCCCAATCTTTTATTCATATACATTTTTAATTTTGTAGGACGATAAATGGTAAATTACTTTAAATTTTACTAAATATCAGTATTTTCTTAGCTTGACAGCAATTACTTATATTTTGAAAATATAAAAACATGTTCGCTCTTTTTTAGAATTATCAATCATTTTTACTCATTTTTGTGAATTTTCCCAACATATTACTTGGTGCTATATATCTCACTAGTTGTAAGTTATAAAGTCCATAATAATAATCTTAAATAGGAATATATCAAACACAAACATTCAAAATAATTTTCATACCAATCAGAAATGTGTACATCTATTAAATGTTTTTTTTTTAAATTCACAGTGAACAAACTTGAATTCAATAATCAAAACCATGTAAAACATGATGGATGAGGACATTTCATTTCACCTTTTAAGCTATGAATTGACCAATTCCTTAATCAAGAAGTTACATGATTAACCAGTCTTAAACATAACTCCAAATTAAATACGAAGTACTAGTACTGTTTTAATATCCAGCTCCTTTTGATATGATACGATAATAATGAATCTGCTTTTTGCCGTGTTTATGGTTTACAGCACTAACTTTGACAACTTCTTATTTTATTTATTTCGTGCAAGGGTAGAATAGGAAAGTTGTAAACAAATTATACTATATCCGTTCTCTTTGAATCGCAACATTGTACTTTTTGCACTGTTCGTATATTCAATTTTGACTATATTTTATTTATTGATATAGTATAAATTCAAATTTTAAAAAATATTTTAAAATTCCTCTCATTTTAAATTTTCAAAATCTGATTTTTTTTAATTTTTTTACTAATAACAAATGAAATATATTAATGGTCGTCTCAAAACTCTTTCCGGTCAAAAGTTGCAACTTCTATTTAAAAAAATATTAATGTTAAACATTATTTAACCTTCGCTTGTACTTTATAGCAGCTAATAAGTCAAAAGTTGCCAAAAAAACGAGTAAATGCTTTTTAAAAAGGATATTATATCATACTCATTAAAAATAGAAAATGGTGCAAGTACATACAAAGATTTGATTCTTTTTACAATTTTAAAGATTTTTTCGATCAAATTTGCCATGTACTCGGTATATGATATGCATTTTCTTAAGCTTTTTATATTTATTTGTTGTACCTACTTTATTTATTTATTTATTTGAAATTTTGGTATCAATTTGGTGCGTGATGATACAGTTTTACTATGTCTAGCGTATCAATTTTTATTTTATTTTAATTAGTAGAACTTTTAAGATTGTGTCCGAATACATATTTTTATTGTTAAAACTGATTTAACTATTCACGGGATAATTTAACTTATCAAAAGTCAATGTTAAAACTCGCAAATTGTAATTTAATTTGGGATAAAGGAAGAGCGAGTAGTAAATTGTTTTGTAATTCTGAAATTAATAATTGTATTTCGTGTTAAACCGTTATTTCATTTTATTTAAAGTATTTGTTGGTTATGTTTGACGCAGATACGAGGAGAAGATTCTGAAAATTGGAAAAAAGAAAACGAATATAATGCTGGTAGGAGATGGAATGCGCAAAACAATAATTTCAGGAGGAAGAAGCGTCTTCGATAACATCACCACCTTCCAAACCGCCTCTTTCGGTAACCTCTACTTTCTTCTTTTAGTTTACTTTTATTTCTTTTTTCGAATTCCGCTTCAGTATTTAAATTAGGGTATACTAACTAGAAAATCAAAACAACACATTTTTCTTACATAAATAAATACGTGCAAATCAAATTTCGAAGCTGTTTCAAACATTTGAGCGATCAATTCGACAATGTTCTTCAAATATGTTGTCATAGCTTAATGTATAAAATATGATTGGAATATACAGAACATACTCTTTATCAAATAGTATAAAATTTAATATTTTGACTAAAAGAGAAGGCAATGCCTCCAAAAGATTCGTCATATTAAACAATAATGATGAACTTTGGACAATGATTTACAAGTTTTATAATTTTATGAAAACTATTTTGAATCTAACACATTTTGATATAATTTTCATATTCATAATAATTTCGTATTAAAAAATCAAAATTGAACAATAATTTCATTGATCAAAATTAATTATCATTTAAAAAAATCAATTTTGTAAAAGAATGGTGTATGTATGCGCGACGCAAAAAAATACAAAAAAATACTCCCTCCGTACCTCAAAAAACTTCCCACTTTCCCTTTTCGCCCGTTACAAAAAGAACTTAACTTTCCTTTTTTGTCAAAGAAATTGTGATTCACAGCGATTCTTACACGTTTCTTTTCCCTCCGTTCCTTATAACTTTGCCAACTTTTCTTTTTTAGTTGTCCCAAAAACTTTGCCACTTTCCTTTTTAATCAATCAATTTGTGACTCATGTTATTTCTCTCTCCTCTTAACAAATATCTACAACACAATTTTTATTTTATTGTTTCACGTGCCGATCAATCTTGACGAACGGGATAACATTTAGGGATGGAGGGAGTAGGTGTCATGAGTCATGACCGGACCCGCCGAGTGCGTGGGCCCTTGCATGCATGAGCATGTTGAAGAAGTAGATAGTAATTACACGTGGCCTGTCAGCTTTTGTATAATCATAGGCAACCCACGCGTTTCAAATCATTGGCACGAACTATTCAAAGTTCAAAGTCATCAAACCTTTCACAATTGAAAAGATTATTATTCCACTTTTAAAACTTCATTTTTCTTTATAATTAATAAATTTCAATTCTAATTAATCTTCTTTCATGTTAAACTTCAATCATATAATTTTTATTTTATTAATCTTCGTGCGGGTCAACTGAGAAAGTATAATTAAATATCAAATTAAATCTATTTAGATTTAAATAGATTAAACTAGCTAGATGTTTACAATAGTAAAATAGAGGTTAAATATTTGCAGACGGCTTCATATCAGCTAGATAAACATGATTTAAACTGACTAAATTAAATCTAAAATTTTCAATTGAGTTTCAATAAAATAGGCCAAATTTGCCAATAAAACATGTTACTACGTAGTAGTATATGTCTATCTTTTGATACTACTAGTATATAAAATTGAGCAATTCTAAAATTTTAACTAATCAATCACTATACCAAAAATATCTTTTTGGTATAGAAAGAATTATTTATTAATCATGCTGTTTTTTGTGGATTAACAGCTGCGACTGGAAATGGTTTCATTGCAAGGGACATAACCTTTGAAAACTGGGCAGGAGCTGCCAAGCACCAAGCCGTAGCTCTCAGGGTGGGCTCGGATCATTCTGTCATCTACCGCTGCGAGATCACCGGGTACCAAGACACCCTCTACGTTCACTCGCAGCGGCAGTTCTATCGTGAATGCGACATCTACGGTACGGTCGACTTCATCTTCGGTAACGCTGCCGTGGTCTTCCAAAATTGCAACATTTATGCTCGGAAGCCAATGTTGAGCCAGAAGAACACCATCACGGCCCAAAACCGAAAAGACCCTTACCAAACTACTGGCATGTCCATCCACAATTGTAGCATTTTGGCGGCCCCGGACCTCAAACCATGCCAGGCAAACTTCTCGACATACCTAGGACGACCGTGGAAGATGTACTCGAGAGCCGTCGTCATGATGTCGTTCATCGACGATCTTGTTCATCCTCAGGGCTGGCTAGAATGGAATACGACATTCGCCCTTGACACGTTGTACTACGCCGAGTATAATAACACCGGGCGCGGGGCGTGGTTGGCTCAACGGGTGAAGTGGCCCGGATTTCAGGTTCTCAAAACCGCATACGAGGCTAGCATGTTCACCGTTTCTAAGTTCATTTTTGGGTCAACATGGCTTCCTCAAACCGGAGTTGCTTTCGTGGCTGGATTGACTACTTCTTAGTACGGAGTACTCTGCACTAAGTCAATTTATATTTGGGCCCGGCGTTGATTAACTGTTAATTTCTCATGTACACTACATTTGGGCCGGGCGGGTAGTACATACTCCGTATAATACTCTTTACGTAACACATATTCAGTGCCTCATATACACCAACCAACATAAATTGGTTTCATTTCATAGATGATCATATAATTTAATTATTATAGGCAATTATTTGGAACTACAAAATATGTATACCTAATGTGGATTGCTGACGTGGAAGCTAGCTAGCTAGGACGATGATCGACATTGTAACTCTGAAGTTGGAGTTTCTTTATTTGTATTGATTGCAATTCATTCAACAATCCTGTATTTAGTACATTGAAGTAGGTGGTCAAAATTAATAAGGAAAAGAAGAGTTTAATTTGGAAATTTGATGAAGAGAGTGTATATGGTGACGTGAAAGTCAATTAATTAATGTTCAATCATTTATGTTACTCGATCAGCATTAATCTTGGCCTTGTGTACTTGTCGGTCGGTGAGAGTATAAATGCATTGAGCTCAGGCTTGCGGGTGGAATGCGGTGGTTTTCTTTGATCGAAAAGGTGGAATCTCCCACCCGAAAAGTCCCGCACTCCGACAGGATGGTGGGGAGGTTAGTCACGGTAACTCAGTTATCAGAATTACAGTAGGTCTATACACCCGTGCGCAACAGATGCACAATCTTATTTCAGCATTTTCAGATTCTGTGACCTCCACCCGGTCGCTGCGAGGATTCGAATCTTGATCCATTGATCCAAATCTCCCACCACTCGGGCAACTGAGCTATCCGTGCGGGTCTCTTTATTAATGAAGACAATTCTTATATTTCAATGTAGTGCGGGATCAGGATACTCATACCATAAGTTCTCGTGCCGTATTTGTAATTTATTAAAAGTTTTCAACTTTTTCGATAATTATTTTAAAATTTCGAATACCTGCATCCTGACGGATAAACATATCATTTTTTTAACAAAAAGAAAATCCAAAATTTACATTATAAAATTCTTAAAAAAAGAAAAATTAAAAAATAAATTTTACCTTGTTTTAGTCTCGTACACAACTAAGTATATAGACGACAAGTAAAATGTGAGATGTTGGTGGAGATGATTTTAGGAGTATATATAGAGGATATAAGAGTACTCGAGTTTGCCAACCTTTCCATAGATAAACCAGAATTGGAGGATGTCTTTTTAGAAGACGATGTGATCATTGAAAATTAGTAGCTCCGGTTGAAATATGTATTAGAACTTCTAGTTTGTTTATTAGAGTATCGTTTTCTATCTCCATCATCCAAGAACTTTGATTATTTGCACTTTAATTTTAAATCTAAAATGGTGGTTGTTTAATTCGTTTCTCATTTTAAATCAATGACTTATTGACTATATTTAAATTTTGAGAAAAAATATCTTAGTAATGAGATAAAATATGGGCACTAGTGTATACTCGGTATGAGATAAAATATGAATTTATTTCTAACTATCTTAATAATGTGAAATGCTTCAATGTCGTGAATGGAGGATAATATATGTACATATTTTCAAAAAAAATCTTATGATTTTTAATATTTATAAATATACCCCCATAATTTTAATATTTATAAATATGTCCCCGTACCCGTATCTTACTTTTTTTTATTTGTCGTATCTGTGTATCTGTTTTTGCGTACCCGTATCGGTGCTACATAGCTTATAATAGGACTAAAACATATTAGAAGTGCAATTTTTTGAAATAACTGTGCCAAAATTTACATATAAAACCTAGTTATTTTCAAAATTTAATTTTACTGTCTTTTGGATTGAGAACTGTGGACATAATTTACATTTTATGGAGAACATGCTCACATAATTTAAACAAAAAGTATCACCGGAAACCACCTCAAAGCAATGTGGTCGGACGGCACTCCTAGCTGGACACGAATATTTGTGTGTAGATTATTTTTAAACTAACTAAAATTATACTTGAAATATATTGAGTTTAGTTATTTGCATAACATGTCTGTCCACTATTTAATTAATAAATTTTCCTACTCAAGTGACATTTTTCCGGAATTTGATCATCGTCCACCGTAAAATTTTCATGTTAGTACGTGCCACCGCGGGTCACCACAATTCCACCGTCACCGCCAAATTGATGCAGCTACCATTTGACCGGCGTCCTCACAATGTCTGACCTTAATCATGTAAGAGAATTAGGAAAAATTAATCATACGTAGTATAATTAATTATATAGGAATAGAAAAATAGAAATTGCCCAACATAAACATAATTGTACAAATAGGAGTAAAACTTAAAACTTCCTTAATATCCTTAACCTAGTTAATTCTAAAACATGACTTATTTAAAACACAAATAGGAGTAAACATTAATTTTGTACCCTTAATATCTCTAACCTAGTTAATTCTAAAATATGACTTATTTAATCTTAACCTATTTAATTTATGACTTATTCGATAATAATAATTTATTTATTTATTTATTTTTCAAAAAAAAATATTTTTTTAAAAAAAATAAAAAACTCAAAAATATTAAATAAAATTCACCACCTCCTCTGTCGCCTCTGCACTACCACCTCCAGTCACCAGGGGAAAAAATACCAAGTTCATTACGCATGTCATATTTATGGCAAAAAATAATGAAAATGTTGGCATTCACAAAGAGAAATATGACATATTTTTGGCATTTTCAGAAAAAATGGCAGTTTTTAGGAAAAATAGAATTTTGTTTCACCGCACGGAGGTGGTGGTGCAGGAAGGTTGTACAGGCGGTGGGAAAGACATCCATATTTTTTTTAATTTTTTTATGGAGTTTTACTATTTTTTATTAAGTTTTTAAAAAACTAAAAAATTAAAAAAAATATTTTTTTTTAATATTTTATAATTTTTTTAATTATTTTTCTACGAATTTTTGATTTTTCCCGAAATTATTATGAATTAAACATTTAATTAAAAGTTGTTGGAGCTTAGGACTTGGGTAGGGGTATACTTGTCCAAACACTAAAGTCACTCTTATTCAAAACATGATACTCCTATTTTTGCATTTTGCCTATGTTTTGCTCCTATTTGGGGAATTCTCTCATAGAAAAATACTCCCTCCGTCCCATAATTAACTTCGATTTTGACTGGGCACGGAGATTAAGATAGTGAGATTTGTGTGGTGGAGAGTTGTGCAGAGGAGAGAGAAATGTGTAAGAATGATTGTGAACCACATATTTTTTATCAAAAAAGGAAAGAGGAGATAAATTTGGGCCGGACCGAAAAGGAAAGAATGAAGATAATTTCGGGACGGAGGGAGTAATGTTTTGTTCTATTTAAAGCAATATAGTACGGGGTAGTACGTATAATTAATTTTAAGACAATTCCTTATTTTGGACTTTTGGTTCGTCAATCCACATTGCAAGTACCACTAACTTCAAAGAGTACTAGATATTCCATTACCAGCAGTTACTCTTTCTAAGACATTTTACATATCAATCAACTTTTCAATCTTTTTAATTTTGTATTCAATTATAATACCTTACCCTTCCTTGAAACAAGTTGCTTGTTTTTTGGGACTTTCTCTCCCAACAAGTCTATGACCAAAGTTTTCCTCCTCTGGTAAGCAACGCGCTGAAAAGTTCTCAAAAATTTAAAGCATACCCCTAATAATTTCAAATTAAAGCAGTTCCTTAATATAATAGTGTGAATATCCAACCGCATTTTTTCCCGCAAAATTTAAAAAGACACTTTGAAGAGCGTCGTTGCGTATGTGTATTGTCCCTTACTAGCTGTCCAATAATTATGTTTTCAAGGGCCAATTAAGTAAATTGTTTGACTTTTAAAAAGATAAAAGAATACAAAATGAAAGGCAACTGCAAAAGTAGAGGAATCAAGTAAAGAGTAGAGAAGTAAATCAAGTAAGAGGAAATTGCTCAAACTAAAACTAAAACTAAAACATATTAGGTAGCATTCTTTCAAAAATAAGACTACGGGCATGTTTGGTAACAGCTTCAATGGCTGAAATGGCTGGAAAATCTGAATATGTTGAATCTGTCGAAGTGAAAGTGTTTGGTAATATATTGGTTGAAATGGTTGATTGAACGTAAAATTACCATAGAAGGTATGAAACTGTTATACTCCGAATTTGCTATTGTTGTTCTTGAAATCGCAAAACTGTTATACTCCGGATTTGCTACTGTTGTTCTTGAAATTGCAATACATCCTTTCTTCATGAAAACATAACATCCGAGGTACGAAATTTCTTATCATAGCCGACTCATGTGATATTTGATATTTCCAATTCTAACTTAAAAAATTGGATTTTTTCAAGGGAAAAGAAAATCAGAAAATCTTGAAGAACATGAGGTTTGAAGATGTTAGTTACTTTGTATCTTAAACAAGCTAGTTTGAAGATGTTAGTTACTCTGTATCTTTGAGTCTTAACTCAAAGGAGTTCTTTGGATGCATTTACAAAAATTTACCAAATTTCAATAACCTAGAAACAAAGAGCTTTAAAAATTAAGAACAATTGAAAACCTAAAAACAGAAAATTATATCATATACGTATGATATTTGAGAGGTTCAATTATGATATATAATAGATGAATCAAAGTCAAATCCAAGAGAGATTCTGCACAAGGTGAATAGATAATCTGGAAATGAAGTTTTTCTCGGCCAAAGAGAAGGAAACGCAGATCGGCAAAGCGAGTGAGCAAGCTGAAGCGTTGAATGACTTGGGATAATCTTCTGATACAAGCGAGCTAAATGGCAGTCTTCACCTGCGGGGTGAAGGGATCTTTCCAATGGCCAACAATAGAATAATACGGAGTACATATCAGCAGGAAAGGTAAGGGAGCACTTGTTTTTTCAGCTGATAAGAAAAATCAGCTCAAGTAGCCAATTTGCTAGGTGTTTGGAGATTTTTATGCACTTTAAGGCTTATCACCCTATTTTTGGTGCTCCAAATGGCCCCTATATGTGTAGTTTCTCAAAATAGGATTAATCATTCCATTTATATCCCTAATTTAATTAATTAATGGGAGAACTACCAAATAAGCCCTCAAACATTCATAAAAAGTGAAAATAAGCCCTTTTATAGGAGGCTCTGTCCGGCCGTCGCCATTTGAGGCGGTTTCCAGTGGATTGTTTTGATGTTTTTTTTAGAATCTTATTCATTAAGTCTAGTTTACTAATACAAAATTTCAGCTAACAATTCAATCGGGAAGGCAGTCAAATAAATTTTTGAAGATAACTGTGCAGTTAGGCAGCACGTACTGTATATTTCAGAAAATCATTTGACTGTCTTATCGATTGAATTTTTAGCTGAAATTCGGTACGAGTAAACTAGACTTAATGAAGAAGATGCTCAAAAACTTTTACCAAAAAATTCCACCGGAAACCACCCTAAATGG